GCGCCGGGGACTGTCGTTGTGCGACTTCTGATGCTGTCGAATTTTCGCCGATGTCCCTTGATCTGTATGCTCTACTTGGCTACCTCCGTTTTGCTGGACGAGGCTGTTTCGCTTGGTATTTGTCTTCTTTCTGTCATCTTTTGCTGTTCTTACTTGTCTATATTCTTTCTTTCTTTTTCTTGTATTTTCTTCTCCACTTACCATCCTGTTTTAAGAAACTATTTTTTTTCACTTTCCGGCTTCTATTGTCATTTCTTTTTCTTTTCATTTTGTCTCTCCTCATTCTCGCTGCTTGCTCCTTTTTTGATTTTGCTTCTTGTGCTCACATCTTCCCGCTTGTTCTTTGTCTCGTTTTATACACCTTCTTTATCATTTTTCTTTTCAATGGCACTGTCAGTGGCCTCAGCGAGGTGAGTCCGCCCTGCCGCAAGGCGTCAGATGGGTTCCTTGCTACCTGTGCTTGCGCTGCCTCCTTCCGTCCCCCTCGGATTACCCACCGCGATCCCTCCTCTCCAGATCCCCCTCCCTCTCTTTCCTCTTGCCTCCTCCTCCTGTCTTTTCTTCTTCTTCTTTTCCTTCTCTCCTCCTGTTTTCTTGCTCTTCATTCTTCCTCTTTTGTCGTACTGACTGACTGATTGACGAACTTTTGTTCTCATTTTGCTTTTTCATTTTGAATGTTGTGCTCTTACTTGGTTCCGTCTTCCTGACTTCTGCATCTATTGCGCGTCGCTTCTCTCCACTTCGCTTGGACCTTCTCCCTCCCTCGACTCTCCCCTCTGCCTCTTCCTCCTCCGTACCTCGATTCGTTCTTCCTACCCTTTCCTCCGCCTCCTCATCATCAGTCTTCAGTTTTCGCTCCTCCTGCCTTCTTCTCCTCCTCGCATCGTTGGGGCGAGCCTAAGCGCTCCTCTTCCTTCACTTCTCTTCTTTCCCTCCTCGCCTTCCTCTTTCTCTCTCCTCTCCCTTCCTCTCCTCACTTCTTCCTCTCCGCCTTACCTCCTCCTGCGCTACGCGTTCGTCATCTCCTCTCGTGCCGTGTCCTGCCTCGCTCCTCCTTCCTCGCGTTTTCCTCGTTCCTCCTTGCTTCCTTATCCCTCCTTAACGGGGTGACGTCGGGTTCTCATGCGAGGCCACACGCGCTGTTCGCAGCAAAACTCCTATTGTCGCTTTCTGGATGGAGGTTTTTTGGTGTAGTCCAGGGCGTGTTTCTTGCCCCAGTACGTTGCAGCGGGTAACATTATAAAGTAAAATATTGAGTAGTACGGTGACTTAGCGCGCTTGATAAACGCATATGTGTAGTGAGATTAATGTGATTTGTTTATTTGGTTTTATGCTCTGATGTTGTTGTAGTTATTGATCATGATTGAGCACTATTTTTATTATCTCTCAGAATGATGGGTGTGATTCAGACGGTTGGGTTCTCAGTATAGGCTGCCCAGATTTTCGAGTAAGCCGCTCGAGATGTTCTGGCGTAAGACTGCGTTGTATATGGAGTTCTGTCTGTACATGATCCGTTTATACTTGTCTATCTGCACGATAAGCCTGTTACTGTCGTCTTTTTCTGTCTCAGTATCTCTCCTGTTCTGCTTCTTTCCGTCTCCCGTCTAGCTGCTCTCTCTCCTTCTCTCTCTCTCTCTCTGTCTCTCACTCTCTCTCGCTGCTCTCTCATCTACGCTTGCACTACTCGTCTCCTCTCTAGTTCTCTGGCTCGTCTCTCTCTCTCTCTCTCTCTCCCTATCTCCTAAGGTCTTAATGTACGTGATCTCTCTCTATCTATCTATCTATCTATCTATCTCTCTCCTTTCGATCGCCATTCTTTATTGATATTAAAACAGGAAATTTCTTATGGTATCTTTGTCATGCTTTCTGATTCATGATTTTTTTTTCTATTGGTAGGAATTTGATATTAATTCTATTGACTTTTAGTTGAAAAGAACGTGATGATAAGAAAAATAAATAATATCACATGTAAAAGGGAAAAAGTTACTTGTTATTTATTTATCTTAGTTTTGTTTTGTCTATATTTTTTTCCACTTTTAACATTTGTAGAATTTTATGATATTCTACTTTTCATGTGTATTAGAAAAAATAAAATATACAAAAAGAAGAAAACAAATATATCCGATATTTGAGGAAATGATAATGATAATAATGAGAATGAGGATGATACCGATAATAACAGTATAAGCAATTATAGTAGTAATAATGATATTAAAAATAACAATGAAAATAAGAATGATAATATCAATAATGATAATGATGAAAATGATGATGATAATGATAGAAATAACAGTAATAATTATAAAATTAATAATAATAAAAACTACCAACAACAGTAAGAGTAATGATAATAACAATAACAATGACAATAACAATAATAATAATAGTAATGATAATAACAATAATGCTACCAACAATGGTAAAGATAACGTAGACAACAATAATCCAAGAGAAATGGAAAACAAAAGAAAGAAACCAAGAACGAAAGAAATAAAAAAAATTAGCTTGCAAGAATACATGACTTTTCTCTGTGGAAGAAACCAACTCCATCCCAAACCTGATATGGAAAAATAGCAAGAATTGAAATCAGAACGAAATATAAACCTGAGATTAGATTCAACAGGAAAGGAAAAACGAGAAGAGAGAGAGAGAGAGAGAGAGAGAGAAGAGAGGAGGAGAGAGAGAGAGAGGAGAGAGAGGAGAGAAAAGAGCAGAAGAAAGAGACGAGAGACAGAGGGAGAGGGAGGGAGGAGAGAGAGAGAGAGAGAAAGAGAGAGAGAGGAGATGAGAGAGAGAGGAGAAGAGAGAGAGAGAGAGAGATGAATGAGGAGCGAAAGAGAGGAGAGAGAAGAGAGAAGAGAGAGGGAAGAGGGAGGAGAGAGAGAGAGATGAGAGAGAGAGAGAGAGAGAGAGAGAGAGAGAGAGAGAGAGAGAGCGTGAGAGACGGGGGGAGAGAGCGAATGAGAGAGAGAGAGAGAAGAAGAGAGACGGACAGTCACCGATGGAGGAGATAAGAAGAGGAGGAAGAGAGAGTAGAGAGAAGAGAGGAGAGGAGGAGAGGAGAGAGAGAGAGAGGAAGAGAGAGAGAGAGAGAGAGAGAGAAAGAGAAGAGAGAGATGAGGAGAGAGAGAGAGGATGAGAGAGAGGAGAGAGAGAGAGAGAGAGAAAGAGAGACTGATAGGTACACACAGAGAAAAAAGATAGATAGATTCATATTTACATAAGAGAGAGAAAGACATGAATGAGTGAGAGAAGAGAGAGAGAGTAAGGGAGTTTGACTTTTTTTCC